GCTGGTAGTTTCACCTAGTGCAGAAGTCACAAGGCACTTTATGCTAAAAGAAGTATTTTTCTGTTGCTTATAACTTTGCTAAACTACAATAACACGGGCAGTAATTTTCCTGTTGTCTGTATTGGTCTCTTTATTTCAGGCCCTTTTCAGCCATTTTTGAAAGGACATTTTGTTCTCAAGTCAAACCCTTTTTTTGACCCTTTTGGAAAGGCTGAGGCATCTCTCTGCTCTGGAACAAAAGGCTGGTAGCTAGAAATATAGGAATATTGTTGCTTTTCCAACAGCAAACTTTGAAAGTCTGAGAGCATGCTGTTAACCTTCTACAACTATTAAAAGGTTGTATGTTGCTAGAGGGGTCAGAGTAAATATAGTCCATGGGAATGTAATCATGACTGTCCAGACTTTTGCATAAAAACAACTGCTTTCAGTTTTGCTGGTGCAGGGTAGCACAGATGCATACATTTTCCCTGAGGGAAGTTTTAATGTTGGCATATCTGGATTTTTTCTCTTCTGTATCAATTCTGACCAAGGTTTTCTTTTATTTCATGTGATCAACATGTATTTTGTGGCGTAACCCTAGTAAAAGCCTTGCTTTGGGGATTGTGGAGACAGGGCAGCCCACCGGCTGAGGAAGCAGCATTTCTGTTCCCTGGAACTGTTTCATGCCTGAAGCTTGTAAGGGGACTGCTAATTGCCATGTCATGATCCCCTACTGGTGATGGACATGGCCAAGCCTCTCTCTTCCAAGTTCTGCTTGCTGCTTGAAATCCTTCAAGCCAGTCAGTTCAGCTCCACATTTTGAAATGTCTGCAGGCAACTGCTGTAACCTGCTTAAAACTTTTGTGCATAGAAGGATTTAGGTGGCCCATGTGGCTGGAGACTTGATACAACCTACCAAGATCATATGTGAGGTGGGGATAGAGCTAATGTGAGACTCTTAAAGAGGTCTTGGGCACCCCACTCACAGTGACACTCAAGGTGAAGAGAGGTGGCAGAGAGCCAAGCAGATGTTAGGAATTGTATCCCTGCTGCTGTCTTGTGCCTTTACAACATAAAAGGGTGAGCAACAAGGAAATATTCCTAAAGGATCTGGGCTTGGGGGCCATAGGAGAAGCAAGCCAAGGGAAATGGCAAGAGACTGTGGAGATTTGGGGCTGGGCTACAGCTCATATGCACACAGGGAAGGATGCAGCTTCATGCACCCCAGCTTTGCTGAGGGACCTTGAAGGTCCCTCTGGACCATCTGAAGACCAATGGAGTAGAGTGGGTCTGAGCTGATTCTGTGGTTCTCATGCTATGGACTAGTGGGCCACACTCCTGGAGGCTGTGGTCATCACAGCAATGGAGGGACAGAAAGAGAAGGGTGGGTTTGCTTTATTTCAGTCTAAACAAGCTGGAATTGGCTGGCAGGGTGTGAGCTATATTTGCAAATTTTAAAGCAAACATGAGCTGTAGGTGATTTTTTTCTGGGAGAGGTGGTGATAACATTCAGGAATTGCAGTGGGCCCAGTGAACTGTTTGAGATAATATAGAGTCAACACCTGCGTAGATAAAGCAAGTATGAGCTGAAATACAGGTTGCAGAGGGGAGCAGTCACAAAGTACCCTTCCTTTTCCCAGTGGAGTGAACCACTGGAAACGTCCCAATACCGAGAATAGGATACCTGTTCTCTGCTTCTTGGTGAGGAAGCTTGGCCTTTTCAAGAGCTGTCTCCCCACTATATCCCTTCCTTAGATACTGCTTAGCCCTCTGGCCACAGCATTCAGCCACCTTGCTGGAGACTGAGCAAGAGGAATGTGCTTGGAGAGAGATTGCCATCCTTCAACCAATCCTGTCTGTAGGCATCTCCCAGGGGTGGCTGGAGATGAGCATCAGGTTGTGGCAAAGATGCTTAGATGTGTTCTACAGCTATCTTATCACCCAAACACTTTTCAGGTTGTGTTCCAAGCCAACAGTTCAAATAAAAACTCCCAGGTGATCTTGTGCTGGGAAAATGAGGTGATGAGGTTTTTTGCAAAGGGAAACATGTTTTGCCCTATTATGAGTGGCTCAGAAACAACCATTAAAAATAAAATAAGAGCATTTCAGAAAGGCAGAGAAAATGGGCTGGGGGAAGGGTTGGGATGGAAGCAAGTTTGTTTTTTCTCCAGAACTTTGCTTTGACAAACTACAAAGGAAGGTATCTGTGGAAGCTTTGAGTTCCAAGTGTTTAGTAGTGTGATACTAATCAGAGCATGAGAAATGGCAAGCAGCTAGTGCTGGGGTGCCCGGATAGCACCTCAGGCAATATTCTTAGGGCTGAGCAAATGCAATCCTCCAAAACACAATAATCCTTCAAAGACGACATCTGGAGTGTAGAGCATGGTTGGGTGTTTGTTTGCCTCTTATCTAAGACTGCAGCATGACCCTCATCACTGAAATTGCTTTCTCAGCTCCATTTTGGGGGGGGGGAGATCGTGCATAAAGTTTCAGGGGGTAATATGCAACCCTGTGCTGATTTATCCCTTTCAGAGATATGATTCAATGTAGCCCCCAAAATCAAAGACAGACTGATTCACCTGGGCTTTCTTGCATACCTGGAGGCTGTCGATGATGTTTTTTGAGTGCTCTATCATTGCTCTGAGGTTTTGATGCCTGTGAGTAAGAGGGCTGATAATGAGAACTGACATCCCCCATCAGCAGGAGAAAACTGTATCTCCAAGGAAAGGTTAGTGAGACAGCACTACCCGGCTGGTAGACTCCGGCTCAGGGTACAACTAAGAGCATTCCAGGGGTTAGCCTTCTTTCCAATAGATGTGTGAGGAGGAGCAATGGGACTTTGGGATGTGAAATGGTAGAGGAGGAGAAGAGAAGGTCCCTATTGGCTTAAAGAGCTGCTTTTGCTGCTTGGTAGCTGAAACCAGCAGAAAGGGTTAGAGGAAGGAGTGGTGGCTCCCCTCCTGGTAAAGCAAACACATGAGCATGGTGCATGGGAGAGCCACCTCCGCTGGTATTCATGCAGCGACCCAATTAGCAGGAAAAAAAAAAATAGTGATACAGTTTTTTGGGGAAAAATAAAACATAGGAAAAAAAAAATTTCCCCTCTGTATTCTCCACCTTCCTTTTCTTTTTCCTCCCCAGGGCTTATTTTTAGCCCTGCAAGTTATACATATAGTGTTATACACTAATGATGAAGGGTCACACAACCCTTTGGCATAGGGGTTGTGTCCCAGAGGAATATGTATCTCTGGGAAACGGTTTGAAGTGGTCTAGCCTAGAAAAAGTGATCTGGTCTCCTACCACTAGATGGCAAGAAGTTAGCAAGTCCTGGGCATGAGGAAGAACCGGAGCTCTGGAGGGCTGCAGAGGAGCAGCAGGTCTTAAGTGCAATCAGCTTTTCAGGACTGGGACACAGTTCTGGCTGTGGGGCAGTGAAGGTTAGGATGGAGAGCTGGCCTCATTACTTGTTTTAGCACTTATTGTCCTCTCAGCTTCTGGGTCCTCTCCGCTTCTGGGTCTTCTCCAGCCTTGATTTATCACAAAGAATTTTCTAAGATGAAGAATGTTAGTCAGCATGCCCCCTCCTTCACTGAGGATGCGCAGCTCTTACCACCTCTGGTTCCAGAAGGCTTAATTCTGTGGTTTTTATTCATGCTATTATTTTTGTCAGAAACCTGTGACCCTTAGATGTGTTGGAGATATGTTGTTTTTTGATACAAACTTGTCAAAGTCAGTGAAAATTACTAAATTAGAACAAAATTTCTGGAAGCAAAGACATCTTGTGCCTCCCTCAAGAGGGCTTTGATGGCTGTGTTTTTTGGCTACTAGATGTAGGATTGTGCTCTGGCTGCTACAGAAGAGTCTAGTGAATCTGTCTGCTGCCCACCAGCTTGCTGGCATAGCAACAAAAGCAGAAGGGATAACTTAAAATGGTCATTCTCCAGAAGGCAGAACCCCACTGTAACTCATCCAGCCACAGAAATCAGCCTCTCTTCTCTTCCTGGTGGCTTTCACACTGTTCACAACCAAGCAATGATTTGATAGTGCCTGTGGCACAGAATGTATGGGGACTGGTTAAATCGGGAATTTTGTTTCTGGGTCAGGGCTGAAGTAAACCAGTCGGAGCAGGGTATTAGATGAGCATTAAGTCTGGAAGGTCCTTGTAACTCGCTGCACTCCATCGGCAGAGTGGCACGGTGAATTTATATTGCTCCCCTGAGTCCAGCACTTCTCCACTGTGCAAAGAGATAATTAATTTCCTCATTTTTATATTCCCCACCCCCTTTTCTAGGATCATTCCCCCAACAAACAAATACAAGCAAACACCTGTGAAAAGACACTTTCCAAATGGTCCCTGAGCCCTCTTTCTCCTTGTCCCCACACAGGTTTCAGTGGGGCCACATGACAGGTGATTGGGATGTGGGCAAGAGAAGAGCAAGGTTGCAGGAGTTTTGCTGGATCAGTGTGGGGCTCTTGGCTTGGTGTCTTGGGTTGTGCCATGGTCAACATCTGAGGCAACCTCAGTGATGCTTGAAGTGACTGCAAGGAGTGGCCATGTCCCACATCCCTGTTTGTTCCCTGGGTGAAGCTGGTGGCCCCGTATAGTTCACCACTTGCCATCCTTATCTATCTCCGTGCCTCTTGTGAGGATAACTGCAAGGATGGCCAGATGCAGAGGTATCACTGTCTTGGTCTGATGGTAGATCTACTCTACTTTGCATAAGCAGAGGGCCATGGAGGTGGTGACGTGGGATAGGTGCTGAGTTCACCTGGGAAACATGGTCCTTCGCTTTACCCCTCTTAGCAGGTTTGCACTGTGCCAAGCACGTAGGAGAAGCCCAATAGACAGCAAAAGGTTTCGGTGGAGGGACAGCGCATGTTCCAAGTGGGTTGCCCAACTCTCAACGGAGCATGGCTGCTTAGCGGGGGAAGGACAAGCACTTCTAAAGGACAAAAGCTAATACATCGGGCCCTGCCAGTACAAACCTACCTGGCGAGAGTGAAACTGGACTATCTTGCAAAAACACTTTGAGTAAACACACCGCTCAATGGAAAGCATCTGATAAGACCTGCTGCGTTTCTGGTGGCTCAGTCAGGAGGACTTGGTGCTCCCATTAGGTCTGCAGCTCCATCAGGGCCGTCTCACCTCCTCTCCCCGAGGGACCCACCATGTCCACGACCATCTGCCAGGTGATGGGGTTCATCATTTCGTCACTGGGTGTTGCGGGGTGCATGGTGGCCACTGCCATGGATATGTGGAGCACACAGGACTTGTATGACAACCCGGTCACGGCTGTCTTCCAATATCAGGGACTGTGGAGGAGCTGCGTGCGGCAGAGCTCCGGCTTTACAGAGTGCCGGCCATATTTCACCATTCTTGGGCTGCCAGGTAGGGGCAAAAGATGCACCAGGTTTAACCCAGCTATCCTGTAAATCTGTACAGTTTTTGTCCAAAACTAGGAGCAGATATCTTAAAGCACTTTGCTAGGAATAAAGTTTTCTAGCTTCCCAGTGTACAAGCGTAAAGATATGTGCATAGGTTTTACCAAAATAATAACTTTATTTAGTGGAGTTTACCACTTGGGAGTGTGTGTGGGTGTGCTCTGGATGAGCATCATGGTTTCAGCCCCCTTGCACGATAAGAGCATGATGGGGGCTTACAGACCTGTATCCTTAGTGATGCCAACCTTGCTTCCCAACTGTGAGGCAGGAGGGAGAGTTTTGTTGAAGACCACTGTGTTGTCTGCATTGGTTGCTTTTTGACCGTCCTGAGGGGTGTGATGGAATAAATGTGTTTCCATGTAGCCAGCTTCAAGATTGCTAGGTGAGTCCTGTTTCATTTGGAAGGGCAAAACTGATGATTGAGGTCACTTCTTCGACGGGACCACTTGTTTTGAAGACTAGAAAATATATTTATTAAGCTATATATGCAAATGTTGATCAGTATATATATACATGTCTTTATAATGCCATACGAAAGTGATTGTGTTTTAAAAGAGCAATGAGGCAATGGTAACCATATTTTGATGCCAATTTATCATAATTAAGATTTTACTTTTAATGTTATTTTTAGATAATATAGCAATAGGGAAATGTGTAAAGCAGTCACAGACATTTTCTGTTGTGTCTGAGAGATCGTCTTTCAGTTTTGTTCTCTTTATGTGTCTGTTTAGTTGATAAGTACCTTAAAACATAAAGATGGAATGCCTCTGCTTGAATCTGGTTAATTTTAAATCCTCATTTTCCCCCTAAACTTTTTTATATTCCATAAATCATAACTAGTCATAAAGTTTGATTTCCACTTTTGTATTTTGTATTAGTAACAGAAATGCACGTGATGACTTTAAATTGTTTTACTTCGGCCACTTCTCACTACTCACATCAACAGTGAGGAAAAATACAGCTTTTCAGTTTCACTTAGATCAGACAAACATAGTGATGCAAACTGTGGTTTCAGATCACTGACATCTATTTTGGTGAATAAGCTTGCATTTTTATGAATTTCTGTGCACATCATCCCTTTGTATGGAAATCAGTTCAAAAGAGCAACCGCATGTGTGCAGGTAGAAGCAAAGCTATCCTACAGCATGCAAAGCGTGTATGCAACAATAGCAAGTAGTTTCTGTGCTTGCTTTTAACTATAGGGTTGTTTGTTACCTACTGCTCCTGATTCCTGACACGTTTTTTTCCCTTTAGTCTCCTATTTTGTTTGTCTAGGCCCTTCCACTCCTTCCTTCTAGGGGAGGTCATTTACCTTTGGAAAGCCACTCTATTCAGAGGCCTCTTGATGGATACCAAAATTCACTTGAAACTGCAGTGCTCTCTTTCTAAACAGCTCTCGCTTTCATTCCCATGAGCCAAGTGGAGAGGCCTTTATGTCACAGCAGACCTGGGAGCAGTTTCTTCTCCTTTCTGCTCCTTTGTGGACATGGTGCTTAAGTCAACTTCATGGAGAGAGGAATTACTGATGATGGCTATTTTGCATTTTTTCTGTTGTGTCCTGCTGAGTTCCTCCCTCTCCCCTTCGCAACAGCATTGCTCTTTTTCAATGGAGATTCACCACACTGGGACTTCAGTGCTCCAGGAGAAGAGCAATGTCCCAGGAGCTGTTTGGCTTGGCCTGCCTGTTGCGTCCTTCCACAGGCACTTAAGGCACTGGTAACATCTCTCCTGGGAACCCACAATATCTCTGTGAGGTCTTAGCTTAGGATCACTTCTTGATTGGTTGAGACCACCACAGTGATGTCTGTAGGAAGTATCTCAGGAATGAAGGACTGTCTTGGGGACAAGGACCTTCCATCGTGATCTGTAGTGTCTTATGCTGCCTTGGAGTATCAGCCTCTCCTGCCTGCCTGCCTGCCTGCCTGCCTGAAACAAAAGCAGTTGCAAAGAAAACTTAAATGACTGTAAAGACAAATGAATGTTGTGATTTTCTTTTCTTTGCAGCTTTCTGCTTTGCATCAGGTGCTCTGTGAGCAACCTTTGAGGGCTGATAAGACATATCCACCAGCTTCTTGTTCTCTGATGAATAACTAATGAGCTTGCACCTGGGGGCTGATGAATGGGAGATTGAAAACCCCAGGCTCGTTAGCACTTGTTATCAGCTGATAAGGACAAATTGAGTCATAAGAACAGCAGCCCCAGTGGGACTGCCAGATGGGAGAAGGTGGTATATTCCCAGCCTGTGGGATGGCAGACCCCCTGCTTCCTCATGCATCATGGTGCCAGCATGGTTCTGCTCAAGTTTGTAGTACCCCACAGGCAAGGAGACCCACATGGGCACCCCAGCACCCACCCTTGCCCTCCTGGAAGGGTTTATAGACCATTCTCCCAATCTGTGCAAGGCCAGAGGGGTCTGTTCCCTGCTCTACAGCTCCAATGCCTCCTGCTGCAGTTGGGCCATATGGGACCCTTGGGCACTATGGTGATCCTGGCCATCCCATAAAAACAGGTGACAGGCAGGTTGAATGAAGTCCCTGGGGCTGTAAAATATGTTGCCTGCCCTTCTCAGTTGGACACTAGCCCACATTATCTTCCCTGAAGATGGTCAGTCATGTGGGGAGCATCAAAGCCAAACTCAGGGTTGCTAGTGGTCATCGAACAGCAAGAAGAGGCTGCAAAGTATCCCAGCCAAATCGCAACAGCCCTCGAAATACCTTTGACCACCCTCTCCTAATGTTCTGCCAGCACTGGTGCCTTCTGTCTCTGCCAGGTACACTTGCACAGGCAGGGAGGAGAAATGTCTGGGGCCAGCATGGAATTTCAGGCAAGATGGGCCGTGTGCCATCTTATTAGAAAATCACCTTGGTATTCAAGTGCATGGCCTTCTCCCTTCTCTTCTGCTTTTCAAAAGGTATAAGATTCCCCTTGGTTTTCCCTCTTCTTTTCTCTATCCAAGGGGAGTCTGGAGGGTTTTTGCCATCTTCTGCTGACAGACAGCAGCTCTCAGCTCCCATGGGCATGACCCACCAACATCACAGCCTGCCTCCAACAAAGCATTCCCACCTTGATGGCAGGCTACTAAACAAATTTGGGTCTCGAGTATTTACATGTTGTATTAATGAATGTAGACAGATTCATACAGGACTGATATTACAAATTACATGGAAATGATATGCTGGGGCAGGTCATTGCCAAAGCTTTGTTGCTATTTCTTGGTGTATGTGTAATGTTTGTCAAGGTGATATTCCTCTTCCTCTGTGCCGTGTAAAGCACAGAGGAACTTTACTGTAAAGCAGGAACTTACAGAACTCCATTTTGAGTAGCACATTAGTTGGAAATATGGATAGCTGGGTGGAGCTGCCTGCTTTCATCACTGCTTGGGGAGAATAAAAAAAGAAAGCTTTCTCAATTAATTTGTTTATGAAGCCATTCTTATCCCAAATGTACACAAACTCCTCTCCATGAATTTTAGCTGAATAATTTACAACTGTTGTTAATGAGCATTTACAAAAATTTATGTCTAAGCCATCAAACTCTTGACAAACAGCCACATTTCCAGAGGTGCCCCAGACGATCCAAAGAGTAGACCCAGTGCCCATTTCCCAAGGTTTTCTTCTATAATATTTTTATTTTTAGACAGAAACAATGTTCAAAAACCTCCTAGGCTCTGACAAATGTCATTTCAGACACTCAGTGTGACCCTTGTTGATTTGTTTTGCAGCAATGTTCCAGGCTGTGAGGGCCCTCATGATCGTGGGTATTGTCCTGGGCATCCTTGGCCTCCTTGTGTGCATTTTTGCTCTGAAATGCATTCGTATTGGCAACATGGAGGATTCTGCAAAAGCCAGCATGACTCTGACCTCTGGCATTATGTTTATTGTTGCTGGTAAGTGGATGGTGTTGTGTCCCTCATGTATGAGGCATTGCAGTTGCCTGGAATTGAGGACTGGCCAAGTCTTTACACACTTCTGGTCATAGGTAGCAGATGCTCCGGAGCAACCCAGAGCACTGATGCTTGCATGAAGTTATTGGCATTTGTCTTCCAGCCTGGCCTCCTGGGGTCAAGTGGTTTCTACCTCTGTTTAGTAAAAGAAAACCAAAAGTTTGTATGTGACACAACGTAGAAGGTTGAAAAAGCAGCCGACAGATAAAAAAGAAAATCTCTCTCATTTTTTTGTTGTATGTGTACTGTTGTCATGTACTAATATATCTTTTATTTGTACATAATGTTTTTTTGAAGAGTTGCAGGCTTTATACATAGCAATTTTATGAAGACTCAGAGTTGCAGTAGCTTAACTTGCAATTTTTAAATACCATGGGTTATCTGGAGGGCTGTAGGAATGTCCAGTGTTGCCCAGCTACCTTGAAATTGTAAAATGCTTAATACATCACTTACAGGTTTTCTCACAATTTTTTGCAGATGAGTAATCAAATCCATATCCTAGTTAAGGGAAGGAGAATGTCCCTATTTAAAATCCTTATAGTTGAATGGCTCTTAACTTTGGTTGGGATATGAGACAATACAACTTTAAGATGTGCAATAAACAGAAGTTTGAAAGAGGAAACTAGAATAATAAAAAATGAAAAGAATAAAAAAAGAATAGTGAAATAGCAAATAATAATGCCATTGCTGCTGGGCTGGGCATCACGATGATAACCTTTGCAGATGAGTGAAAGAAGTTCCTGCCTCTTCATTCTGGTCTTCCAGGCTGCCTGCTGCCTGTAGGCATCACTGCCTAGTGGTGAAACAAATATATCTCCTCTTCCATGTGAGAAAGAGAGGGTGTTTTCCCATGCAAAATCTAATTTCTGTTATGAAATCTTTTGGCCATGTTTTTCACTGTAAAACAATTCTCTAGAACTGAACTAATGGGTACTTTCAGCAGCTAAAATGATCTGTTTAACTCATTTCTGTGAGAAAACACATTGTGGGTCCGCACTTACACTGAACATGCTGGGACACAAAGCAGCATCTCAACCACTCTTCCAGAACTTTAAGCTGTTTCCTCAAGGCCAAAGGTGAACTACGTGGGTCTCAGTCTGTCTCTTTGTCTGGTATCAGGTCTTTGTGCCATCACTGGAGTGTCCGTGTTTGCCAATATGCTGGTCACAAACTTCTGGATGTCCACAGCCAACATGTACCAAGGAATGTATCAGAATGTCCAGAACAGGTAGGTGGTCAACTAGCTCAGGGTGCTCCACAGTGCAGATTTCCCTCAGGGGCAGGGTGGGCTGCACCTTAAGGAAAAGCAAATTCTGGTTGTGTATTAGTCTGGTCCCAGGACTCGGAAGATTTATTGAGTCTCTTTATTATCTGCACCGGAGATAATTTGTCCCAGCAAATTGGCTGGGATTTCTTTGTTCACACAGCTCAAGAAGGAGGTAAAGAGTCCATTGAGGATGAGCTGGCAAGTGGGATGGTGCTCACAGGAGCTTCTGCAGGGCCAAAGGGAGAATGATAATGTTCAGTGCATTTCAGAAGAAGCAGACTAGCCCACTGTCACAGTCCTCACCAGCAATGTCTTTGTGTTTTGCAGGTATACCTTTGGCTCAGCCCTCTTTGTTGGCTGGGTGGCAGGTGGTCTGGCCCTCGTAGGAGGCATCATGATGTGCCTGGCTTGCAGAGGGCTGATTCCAGAAGAATCCCGGTAAGCTTATTTGTGGTAGACATGGGAAGGCATTGCAGGAAACCTTGGGTGTCCAGATTGCATACAGCCATCACGCCACAGGATATAGCTATGCATAATACCCCTGCTGTAAGAGTCACCATGATGATAGCCATGCATCATGGGTCAAAAGTAACCATTTCCTTTCCCTGACTACGTGACTTGTAAACAAATAGAGAGGGCAGGAGTGATCAACCTTAAAATCAATATGTGCAGTGTGCTGGCTTATTCAGGCCCATTAATTGCAGCTTTGATTGTAAATTGCATCGCATGTCACCAGCATGTGTAGGTTGCATCAGCTGAGCTATGATTTACATCAGGCAGGGCATTGTACACCCATGTAGCTGGTTATTGTGGGTGGGTACTTCAATCAAGGATTTACTCATGGGAAAGAAAACATGAGTTTTTTAATAAACTTAAAAGACACTTGCAGACTGCCATGGATGGTTTGCTCTGAGTTCATTGAGTGTCTCCAAGTTATGACACAGTACAAAGTTGCCTAAAATCCAATGGCAAACAGGAACAGAGGATGAAACACTGGGTAGATACAGACCTTCCAGATGGCTGATCCCATCCTTTGTGTCTCTTTTAGTTACAAAGCGGTATCCTACAATGCTTCGGGACGGAATATCTCCTACAGAACGGGTCCGTATAAGGTTGCTTCAGGGTATGAGCCTGAAACAAAGACTAAAAAAGGTGCAGGATATGAAGAAGCTGCTCGAAGTGAGGATGGAAGACGCTCATACCCTTCAAAATATGACTATGTCTAGTAGACTTTCTGGGCTTGATTTGCGCTATATTTTATAAAATATTTTTAACTTCAGAAGCAAAAAGTACATGCAAACAAAACAGTTTGTAAATAGGATTGTGTTTTCTATCACATTTTCACTACTCTGGGGTTTTATCCTAGCTTGTTATGACTATCTGTTTTATTTGACTGTCTGCTAGTTTGCCTACCACAAGGAGGTCTATAAAAAAAGTAATGCCTTTTAATGTTGTCAGAGTAGAACAGTTTGCTCGTATTTTATGTATAAACTCTGATATCTGGTACCAGGATTATGCCTTGTGATCTTTTCTGATTCTTCTAATAGGTTAAAATTCCGATTTAATAATAGCCCAGATGTAAAAGTGATGCTACTCCTTTGATCAGGCTTTCATACAATTTTGCAGTGTCATCCTGTACTTTCTCAGAGTCTGGAGATATGAACAGTATCCTGTGATACTGTTCTCCAATCATCAGAAAAAAAGTGTTTTGTTGAAATGATAGAGTAATCTGGTTTTGACACTTGAGGTTTTAGCTTTTGTATGAGGGTATTTTTTAGCAGGTTGAAAAGTAAAAACTATAATCTAGTAGTCTCCTACATTATTCTGCTGTGTATTTATATTCAGTTGTATCCCTCTGGCTGTGGCAAATGCATACAGACCCCATAGTCACGGCATTTTCCACCCCGGTGACTCTTTCTACTCAGGCACACCTTTGCTTTGCTGATTGTACTACAATGCTGATCTGCTGTGATACTTAATCTGATTTATGTTACTTAGACATTTGCTATAACCTGTGATACCAAAGTGTATTTATTTCTTCTGATCTTTCTAGGAAATATGTATAATCCATTGTTATTCTTATGCTAGATATTTGCTGTAATAGCTGAAAACCTCTGTGTGCGACCAGTGTTCCTGCAGATGTCATCTTTAATGAAGCCAGAAGAATTTCTTATTTAGAATTAATTAGAGTTACATTTGGAGCAGAAATCCCAGGGAACATTAGATGTGTAACTCCACACTGACATCACAACTTTCTTGTGTTAATTCTTCTCCCAGTGACGTGAAGATTAACTCCTTAGTGGGAAATTGCCTCTTCTAGCCAATCCATCAGAGAGGAAGTTTATTTGAAGGGGTCAGAGGGAGAAACACAAGAGCTTATGTGGGAAGGAGAACTGTGTGCCTTTAGCATGTCCTCCCATGTAGCTCCCACGTAGTTCTTAGTGAAGTTCTGAAAAGCGCCTATGAGCAGATCAAAGGGTACTGAGGGATAAGATGGAGAGAAAGAAGAGGTCCAAAACCTCCAAAGCAGCCTTTTTGATAGCTATCTGCAATAGGTTTTAGTCCCAATTATAATAATTATACGTTCTCTGTAGGAGTTCATTGGCAAAATTGTTTTGGTGAAATGCTGATAATCCCTTGAGTAGTTTCATGTTCTGAAGGAATCAGAGGTAGAGATGAACATTTATTCAAAGCTGAACCTTTGGTAGGTCTACCTGGCATCTCTGGTGGCTTGTATGAATAAGGGGACCAGGCTGTCTCAGTGAACATCAGTGCTCTCGGTGAGGGTGAACACAAACCATACCAGCTGTCCATAACCATCACCTCTCCATAACCGTAAGCTCTCCAGATCCACTAAGATGCACATCTCCAGTGCAGGTCCAGGAGATGTGGATTTACTGCACTTCAGGCAGGTCAGTGAGAGGAGAAGGCAATGCCTAGTAAGGTGCAGCACTAGGGGCTGATAGCTGGAGGAGATGGCTACCATGGTGGGAAGAGTTTCCATTCAACAGAAACTCTTGGTCCCATCTCAGCCTGGATGTTGGCTCCTGCTACTAACACGTGGAAATCTCTGCTGGATGTCAGTGCTGACTCTCCCTTTCATATTAGCAAAAGACTTGTCTTAAGGATATGTTTTTAAAGGAGAACAGTTTATTTTTGCAGAGGTAAATCCTGTCCTATTCTAAAAACACTGATATTCTGTAGAATGGTTTTGTCCCCATCTCTCAGTATAGACATAGCTTTTCTGTCTTTTGGGTTTTTTGCATGCTGGATTTATGTTTTGTTTTGTTTTGTTTGTTTGGGTTTTTTTTGTTGTTTTTTTTCTTTTTTACATTAATATTAAAACTGAAAAAGTCATTAAGACCAAAATCACTGTTTTCTCTTGTTCTTTCCTTGTCACAAGCAGCAGCTATAGACCTTCCCACTCAGCTGAACTCACCCCAGCTTTGGGTTCTGCAGGTTCTTTGGAGCAGTATAGGCAAGTGCGTGTGGTTGAGTTAAAAAATAGACAACAATTATTTTTTCTTCTTTGTGAGACATAGTTAGTTTTATGCTGAGACAAGATATCAGAAAAGCAGATGAATAAGCATCAGGGGACCCCAACCCACTCACGCAATGAAATCAGAAGTCCTTGCTGAGACCCTGGGCTTGCTGAGGAATACAGTTCAGCAAGTGCATGGTTCTTTTTGGGTTTGAGGCCACTTTGGCCAGGCCAGCATCCACCCAACTTTCAAGGTAGCAATTAAACACTTGTAAATACTTCATTGTTCTTAGGAGGGCAGAAAAATTGCTGGCATGCTCTCACTCCTGACAGCTTCCACTGAAAAGAGGCTGAAAAGCACAGGAATGTTTAATTTAGATAGGAAACATGTAAGTGGTGATTAGGTAAAGGTACACAGGGCAATGAAAAATACAGAAAAACACCCAGAAAAAATAGAAATCAGGTTTCCAACTGCATTAGAACAAAAAAAGGTGCACGCATAAAATCACAAGTAAGCACCTTTGAAAGTTACATTTATTTTATATGCAACACAAATACTCTGACAAACTCACCGAGTCAGCTATCTCTCGGTTTCACTTTGATGTGTGCAAGTGTGTAGATGACAAGATTGCAGGCAGGAGCATTATGGAGGGTAGCAGAGAGCTGAAACAGAGGTGTAGCAGGAATTCTTGCCCTCAGTTGATTTCTGATCTTCCAGCATCAGTTTTCATTTCCTTACCTCTGCTGAAATCCTGCAGTATAAAAAATAAAATGTAGTGAACTTTACTGAAAAAAACAATAAATCAGATTCCAAAGCAGAGAATAATTTATGAGCCTGTTTGCAGTGTAAAAACACCTAATGTTACAGCTGCACCTCTCTGTTTGTGGCCATAATAGACCTTCTCGTGTGATGAGTACCACGAGTGGTGAGCATCATGCTCCAGGGGAATGACAGTGTGGGGAGAACCAGCATCTGCAGCCACTGAGCTATGGTTCCTGCTGCAGTCAGCATGTGGTGTTTCCCTCTCTTGGGACATGGGCCCAAATATCTCCCTTTCAACTGCACTGATCTGTGATCTGAAAGCCCTGAAGCTGAAACCACCAGCTTAGGGAAAGCTCTGGGTCTTTACTGAGAACCAAGTTCCCTTTTCCAGGCTTTCTTCTGCAGGCCAAAAAAATATGTGGATACCCTAATAATTTACTGGACTTTAGAAAAAAGAAGCTCCAAAAGCACTCCAGAATGACTCAGCATTTTCTTGGAGACAGCTCATTGTGTCCCAGTGCTGTTATGTCCCAATGCCAGCATGCAAAGGACACAAAACCCCATGCCACAGCCCACAGTGCTAAGGGCCAGCTGCATAGGGAGGGGGGATGCCCAGCCTATATGCTGGTTTGGGGGGTACCCTGGGGTCACCCACCCAAAACACAGCCTCTACACCCTATGCTGTGCACTGCAGGGAGACGTTTAGGGATGAAATTGGGCTCAGAAACTCAGCACCAAATGCTTAACTATGCTGCTGAAAGGAGCAGCATGCTGTTCTCACCAGGTCACCCTGCAGGCAGAAACTCCTAGAGGGTACAGTGCCATTCCAAGGCATGCAGAGGAATGCTATCCTGCTTTGCTGCCTGGTTGGAGTTTTGGTGGAGAAATTAAATATTTGCTGTGCTGGACTGGGTTTGGTGGCTTGACCCATCACACAGCAACAGGAGGTCTGTGCCTCTAGAAGTCTTCATCTGACTAAAACCTGGAAATAATTATTGGAACCCAGATATGCAGATCTCTTGACCCCATGAATAAATCCAGTATTTCCTCCTGCTCTTGCTGATGGTGAGGAAGTAAAGACCCTCCCTCTCCCTTCAATTATTTTGCCTTTATTGATAATAAACTGCGGGGCAAAGGATGCATTTGATAGCTCTTACAGAGCCAAGGGAGATGAGTCAGGAAAACTGTGACTGGTGAAGCATGTGGGTGTATGTGTGCCTGCACTCAGAAATGGGTTTGTTTCCGTAAATTTGATTGCCTTCTGAAAAATGTATATCCTGTTTCAGAGGAACTGATTAAATATAGGCTTGTCTACTAGAGCAAGTTCTGAAAAGGCTGTGTGTATTATCTGCCAGAAGAGCTCTATATAGTTTCTTTCTGAGCTTCTGCAACCTTTATAAGTATGTAAGAGCACTGTAGATTTGTGTGGACTTTGACCAAGGGAAGCGAAGACACGTATCTGAAGCTACAAATTGGACTATGGATAAGAACTCTCCTGAAATCTATATGCAATTAAAAGCCCAATCTTCCTTCCTATAGTGACAAGGTTATTGCTTTTATATAGCTGAACAGAGATGAATGAGCCTACTGATTAATAGCACTAAGATTTATGACACTGTGCTTGCCCCAAATATGATGGGAGAATAGCTCTCTGGGTGAGATATTCTAGCTGAATAAATTTGACATGACTTTTCTTTCTTTTTTTTTTTCCAGCTTGGTATTATTTGGGAGAGTTGCACTGCATTCAGAGATCGTTAATGCTGTGGTTTGAATATCTACTAATTGTCCCATATATATCCATCCTTTATAGAACTATTACCAATAATTAGAGCCCCACAAAGACAAATGTCACTGATAAAGACAAAACACAAAGTACGGTATTTTAAAGACCATGACACTCTAATGGCATTAAATTCTTGGCAAGGGCCTGACCTTGCAGCATGGACGGGCATGTGTGCTCCAGCCCATGGACCAAGCCTGCATCACCACCTTCTTTACTGCCCATGAACAAGCAGCAGGCTGGTGGGCTGGATTTGACCCGAGGAACAAGTGTGAAGACTTGAGAGTTAAGGGGATATGTTATCAGGCTCTGAGAAGCACTGGCAGCGTGAGGGCAGGGTGCCTGTGGTTTGCCTGCTTCCACTGTTAACAAAGTCTTGCTGTCTTATAGCATTGTAGCATCCTCACAGGTTGAGGGAAATGAATTTTGGAGGAGGCTCTTGTTCCATTCTTCCTGCAGGAGAAGCCAAGTTCGTTTCCTTAATTCAGTCACAAAGAAATCTTTGTGCAAAGGGAATACCAGGACACCCATCTGCCTATTTACCCTCGGCTGCAAGCAAGGGTCCCCACTTGCACTTCTGACTTTGTTTTCCACTGTGTGCTTTCTGTTGGTTTTGTTTTATTCTGCTTTGTTTTGCATTCAGGATGCAGCAACACACCTGATTGGGGAGTATCTCTACTGCTCTCCGCTGGTTCAGTATCGTGCAGCCCAGCAGGGATAACAATGTGGTCCAATTTGATGGCATCAAAAAAATATCCTGAAAAGGGGTACACGAGCAGTTGCTTATCTCAGAAGGAGTCCATGAAGCAACAGGGGAAAAAAATTGAAAAAATTGAAAAAATACTGAAAAGAAAACAAATTCTTTTCTGGACAAGGCACACTGATGATGGAGCTCATCTCAGAGTTGCTTCTCCCTTTCATTTTCTCTTCTCAGAGCCCATCACCTGTGATAACCCAAGTGAATCTTCAGGCTCTTCTTTGTCCACTGAGCATTCTCTGCCATTTGGCTTTGTCTGTGTCTATATTTATTTGTTTGCAAGAGTATGAGTGTCACCTTTCTTTTAGCACAAGGCTCTCACCTATTTTTGGAGTTTCCCAAACTCAGGGGACACTTTTCTCCACCTTTCTGTCACCATCTGGGCTTGGCATTGAGTGCATGAAGCTCACTGCAATGACTTAAAAGCACCTCAGGCTTCAAAATTGTTAAGAAAGTAAGAGCAATTCATGTGCTGGTCAGCAGGAGAATATGTGCAGGAGCAGTAAAAGCAGCCAGACCTGGGGCTGGCAGGGTTTGATCAGCAGCTGGCAGGATGGGTGTGATTTAGATTTTAGTGCTGGGCAGGGCACCTGCCTTGGCACCAAGTTTGCCACGTAGTCAAGGCAAAAGAACTTCTGCTTTGCCATTTCACTACCCGTTTGCTGGTTTGGGCAGAAACTTCTTTCCCCATTGGTTTGGGAAAACATCCGTCCTTTATTTAATTCATTCAAAGCTGTGTTTATTGTGATCAACACTCACCAAAAAGAGCAGCTGTTAAATTTAGCATAAAGTAACACATCTGGCAATAACACTGTAAGCAACAAAAAACACAAGCCGGGTATAGCTCTTAAAACTTGAATTATTAAAATGGAAAATAATTATTTTCAAGGTACGGAGCTACAGAACCATGCATATAAGCACACAGGTGAGAGAACATACCAGGAGACATGGGGGTTTGCAAAATATGGGGAGGAAATGGGGTCTGGATGTTTATGAACAGTTTGCTGAAATCATGTTTATATACAGTGTTCTGCTTAGATCTGTCTGGGCTTTCTGCTCCCTAGCATTAAAACCCACATGCAAATGTTAGAAATAGGGAATAGTATAAGTCTGAACCAGCCCTGGAATGGGTTAGAAAAGAGAAGATAAATTGAGAAGTGACAGTTTTTCCCATTGCGTTTTCCAAAATGCCATACTTTTAAGGGATCAGGATCATAAATGCACTGCTCCAAAAGCACAAAATACAGAGAGGATTATGAAAATGAACTAAATCTACATAGATGAACACTATCAGCAGAGTTTAGTGTATGTGGTCAGTTTTAGAATGCAAAAAATTATCCTTTGGGTTGGAGTTTCCATCTATTCAAGAAGGAAAGGAAGAAGGAATCAGCAACTTGTGGCTTGCTACTCTGTCTGTCCAAGTGCATTCAGGTCAGGTTCCTCCCAGAGCAGAAAACAAGACCCTTTTCATCAACCTCAAAGAGAACCAGCAAAGAGAGATGCAGCAAGAAGGAAAGCTGCTTTCTCCCCTTCCTGACTCTGTTTTCTGGAGTGCTTCAAAGAATAAAAAAGCCACACACAAGTGCAAGGCTGTGTCTGGCGCGGAGAGTTGGATCCAGCCTATGGGATGCGAAGCTCATGGCTTTTGGGGCTCAAAAATCCTCATGGCACTGTCAGACATTGTGTTACTGCTTAACGTGCATGATGAAGGGAGAGCAGAAATCACTGCTTTTCAGACCACGCAGCATTTGTCCTTCTTGCTACGACCCACAGCGGCTCTCCGGGGATGACACGACTCCCTGTGCTGTCTAGGAAAGCCTCAGTATTGGGATATTGCCAAAAAGAGGGGCAGCCCTGGGAAGGCTGCAAAGCAGCTCCTGCCCGTTTCTGATCTTGTGGCACCATCCAGTGGCCGCTGGCAAAGCATTGTCACTTTCCTGTCACCACGTGTTGTCCCCCTTGCAGCCTGGCTCTGAGGGGCCTTTGGGACCGAGGTGGTTCCCAAAATATCAGTGATGGCTTGGCTGGGCCCTCCAGGAAGGAAGGCCTTTTTTTTCTTCCTAAAAAAAGCAATGTGATTCTGACACTGCCATCAATTTAATTACATCAGCTCTGCCTCATAAATTGAGGTTATGTTTAAGTCCCATTTTAGTAATTTAATTGCATCAATTTAATTGCCATTGCATCACTCCAATTATCACTAGATTTGTTCCAGAGACCTTCTCTCAATTTGATTCTCTGGCTCTTACTGTTTTGCTCCCAATTACATGAATCCTGATTTCTCCCTCTACAAAGAGGGTGAGTGAACAAACATTTGCCAGGGTGAGTAGCACCAGAAAGGATGCCTTCAATATCAGAGCAAGAGGAAACACAGTGTCCAGGAGCCTCAATTCAGAGCAGCAAGAGCCACCAAGGGAGCCTCAACCAAGCCAAGTGCAAGGTCCTACACCTGGGTAGGAGCAATGCCAGGCACAGCTACAGGTTGGGCAGAGAAGAGATTCAGAGCAGCCCTGCGGAGAAGGACTTGGGGGTGCTGGTCTATGAGAAAATTAACATGAGCTGCCTTCAGTGTGCGCTTGCAGCCCAGAAAGCCAACCGTATCCTGGGCTGCATCAAAAGGAGCGTGACCAGCAGGTCAAAGGAGATGATCCTGCCCCTCTACTCTGCTCTTGTGAGACCTCACTTGGAGTACTGTGTGCAGTTCTGGTGTCCTCAACGTAAGGAGGACATGGAGCTGTTGAAGATGATAAGAAATTGTCCCCATAGCCATTTGCACAAGATACCTGGAGTTTCTTGGTGGGCTGGCCAGTGCTGGGGGATGCCGAGCTCCCACCTGGGAAAAGTTTTACCCTGCTGGGCGGTCCCGGTGCCACTGCATCCAGGCATCTCTCCAAAAGCCTCACCATCCTGGACATGGCTGTCCCTATGCAGGGCAGAGCCGGTTAAACAGGGAGCACCAAGGCAAGGTAATGGCACACGTGGATGAGAAGGGAGGGGGCCACCAGGCACCCCAGGGTGAGCTGCTTTCTAAATAGCTTAAAGTCACTAGCACTGCCTGGACCCATCCCAATGTAGCTGTTTCAGGAAGCAAATGTTTTGTGCATAGGATGAAGCATGGGGGGTTTCCCTCCCTGAGCAAGTACTGGGTGAATAACACCCCTGTGTGAGAGGGGATGCTGGAGGAAATCTCCGCACACGCAGCCCAGGTCGGTGGTGTATGACGCAGCACCAACATCTCTTTTTTGGCCTAGGACACACCACAGCCATGTGCAAGGAATACTTGCTGATGTCTGTGGTTAATGCATAGGTGAGAGGCACCTGCCACTGCTCCTAAATTCCATGAGGGGCCACAGGAGAGTCCCCACATCATCTCCTGCACGTGGTTCCCAACAGGTTTTACAGCATACAGCCAACTGTTAAAACAAGCTTTCCTTCTTATGTTTGTCAGCCCTTTGGGGTTCCCTGAATCCTCTAGATAGTCCAGTTTCCCCTGTGCAAAGGAAGAGCTGAAGATCTACTGTGCCCTAGGAAAAAGGGGCTAATACCAATGCCTGAAGGGGGTTTTTGTCACTACAAGGGCATATAGTGACAGGAAAAGAGGTTAGAGCTTTAAGCTGAAAGAGGGGAGATTTAGATTAGATATTAGGAAGAAGTTCTTCCCTGTGAGGGTGCTGAGGTGCTGGCACAGGTCCCCAGAGAAGCTGTGGCTGCCCCATCCCTGGCAGTGCTCAAGGCCAGGCTGGACGGAGCTTGGAGCAGCCTGGTCTAGTGGAAGGTGTCCCTGCCCATGGCAGGGGGTTGGAACTGATGAGCTTTAAGGTCCCTTCCAACCCAAACTATTATAAGATCCTATAAAATACCCTGGCAGGGTCAGGTACAAAAGTTGCTGATAGATAAAGCCATCAGTGCCCTGTTGCCTGGCTGGGTATGGGTGGGGTACAATGTGTTCCACTTCAACCCCAGGAAGAAGGTGACACGGTGGCACTGGTGGTACTAACCTGGGTTGTTCCCACCCCTTCACTAACCCACAGCAGTTGCTACAAGAACAGGCGGTACCTGAACCAGCAGTTTCCTCCAGCGAGTCCAGGTCTGACCCATCAGAGTCAGTCTCATCACCCAGCATCACTGCAGAGAGCGCTGGCTTCACGGAGGACAGGCTGAGCTGCTTCCCTCTCAGCATCACTTCTGAGCTGGAATGCAGAGATGGGTCAGATGCAGGGTTGCTTTGGCATCCCTCTTCCCCACTCCTGAAGCAGAGGCAAGGAAGCTCTGTGATGTTCTGAACTATGATCCAGCCCTGAGGAGAGCACCCCATGGAGAAACCTCATGGTCCCCATGGACTTGGATAGGTCCATCACACCCACTGACTGCAAACATATTGCTGCTAGCATCTCAACAAATACACCCATACCTTGCATGTGTTTGCTATTGCTTTGCTTGAGTTTAAAACCTCAATCTGGCTTTCTCTTGCTCTTGGAGGAAATAAGTAACTTCTTTTCCTCACCTGCTCTTGGTCACAGGTGAGCTCCTCTTCTCTGCTGCCAACTCATATCCTCTTACAGTGTTTCTTCTGTGCATCGTCTGCAAGCTTTTATTTTACAACTTCACTATTTTTGCTCCAAACCCCCAAGAGAGTTTGTTCATCCCCTTGCACAGGTTCTGGGAAGGGAAGAAGGAGCCAAACACCAGAGGGAAATGTCCCTTGTTTGTGTCCAGCACCATATGGTGGGTACAAGCCCTCAGGTCTGACTTTGCTGAGTTGTTTGAGTCAGCTCAAACAAGCAGGGAGACTCCAGTTTGTTTCCAAACAAAACCCTCTGTGGTGCCACATCACCCACCACTCAGCACTTTCCAAAGGTGCTGCTGTTTGGGAAGCATGCAGCATACTTAGGGCCAGATTTAGGGTCCTTGGGCACTGCCTGCCTGGGCATCAAAAGGAGATGGTGGGACTCACCTCCTTCGTGGGACAACTCGGTGGGTTCTGCTGGTCCCCACAGTGCCCCAAGGAGTCCTTGAGGGGATGTACGTGGAGAGGGCTCTGCTCCAAGACACAGGGTGAGGGATCACTGTGGCTTCAGGCTCTACTGCAGCTGGTATACTCATGGGCTTCAACCCATGAAAGGACCTGGGAGTCTTCAGGCTTTGAGCTGGAAAGCAATATTGAGAGCACGGAGAATCACCACCCATTTCTTGATAGTCCTGTAGGCTGCCCTTGGAGGAGCCATGCAGCCTACCCAACATGGGGCTGTATAGAAAAAGAGGGCAAAAGGGATTTGCAAGCACTCCCAGACCTGTGTTTCACTCTGCTGGGGCTTTTGGGGACAGCTGATGTTTTTTCCTGAATATGTCAGAACAACCCACATAGGTCAATATACAGAGAGAAATTGCAGAGACTTGCATCGCCCAAAATGCCTTTTGCTGCCCTTCTCTGTCATGTTGCAAGAAGACAGCATCCCATGGCCATCAGTGGGTGGCCACAGATCCCCATGGTTGGTCCCTGGAAGGGACAGGAGGTCACTGTACCTGGGATGGCAGAGAGCTGCTGAGGCAAAGCACTGCTGGACTTCTTGCATCGCCTGACTTTCCCCATCAGTGCTTGGACCAACTCATCCCTCAGGTGGAGGAGAGCAGGAAATTTCACAGCCTTCTGTTGCTGCTGAAGCCTGACCAGAGCCTGGAGTCTTTTGTAGGTCCGAGTGGAGATTCCCTTTGCAACCTAAAGCAGAGGACAGCTGAGGAGCCTGGCATTGTCCTCCCACAGCACCGGGGGTGGTGGTGGGGTGGTGGGGTGGTGGGGTGCATGTGGAAACAAGCCTTTGGCAGAATTATCCATATCTCAAGAGCATCCTACAAGCTCCAGGCCCTGTCTAAAACCCAAGGACCCTCTCACCAGCCCTGACACCTATCATTTTGCTGGCACAATGTATCCTGTGCAAACAGCCCACATTTGCAAAGCCCTCACCTGTTTTGGTGAAAGACTGCTGAAGAGTAAATCTCAGTTATTTGGGGCAATTTCTAGGCTACAGGGTAACCGCGTGCAGCATTTTCCCTTAGCATGTATTTATAGCTCAAAGAGGTTTTGTGACCATGAATGTCCTGGGCTTCTAGAGGTGTAAAATGATGAGAAGGGTGAATGGGGGTGTTAGTTTGTGAGTCTGGCTTTGGGCACCTCTGCTGCTTTAGATGCCACTGCATCAGTTCCCCACATGCTGGGGAAATGGGGGACATGCCAGGGCTTCAGCCTACGTGAAATGAACCCAGGAGTGCTCCTTAAAAGCACCTCCAGAAAACAATCACACAGAAAGTCATTCAATCACCGCTTTGTCTTTGTGCCTTCAGGACCTAAACCCAGAAATGCTGCCTTGCTCAGAAACATGGGTCGATGGACTAATGTGGATCCCTGCTGCCTGCGTGCTCTCTGCCCTTGCACCGTCTCTGCAAGGTGCTAGGTGGTGGTGTTGCATTGCCAGGAGCTCGGGAAGGAGGTACTATTTAATATGCTTGGCATGAAAAGTACTTGGACAGTGAAAGTCCCCTTGAAATCCCCATGACAGGGGCTGCTGTGCCCTCAAACACCCTCCTTCCCTAGAAGAGAGGGAGGCCTGGGTAATTTAGCATATGAAAGGCTGCTTGTGAGAAAGATTTGCTGGAAAGATACTAATAACCAGCCTCAGAGATGGGAGCACGGTGGTTTATTCCCTGTGCTACTGTGTGATTCTGCCTCCACCTTCCCATTTGCCTCTCGGAGAGTCATTGCTCCAGATGGGGATTACTTTTTTTTTCTTTTACTGACTGTTAATATTTCAGTTGCTTCCCCCCCCCCCCCCCCCCCCAAAAAAAAAAAAATAAAATTAATCAGTTCAGAGCAGTTTTTGTGTTCCTGCACTGGGCTGGCACTGCAAATGCTGGCACAGAAAGGGCAGACTTACCCTCTTGACGCCCATGCTCTCCAGCTTTTCCTCCAGCACTTCTTCCAGGATGTGGCGAAACTGCTTCAGGAGGTTTGGGTTTCTCCGCAGGGCTTCCAGCAGCCTCTGCTTCCCACCCTGGATGGCCTCCTCACTGCCTGGAGTAGAGGTAGGTGGTGCTGGTACCAGTGCAGTGATGCACTGGCTGTGCCCTGGGAATGGGGCTGGTGGAATCGTTTTCCTCTTTGCAGATACAGGTCCCACCAGTCCCAGAGGAAGAAACTGATTGCTCTCAGCAAACTACATCCCTCTGAAAAGGGGCAATTTTCTCCTCTAATTTGATTAATCCCTGTCCACAACTTCTCTAAAATCCCACCTATGTCCAAGTAGCTGCCTGGAACAGTTTCCCCATTGGCAGCAGGGCTGGTCACGGCGCTGTTGTAGTCTGTATAACTGAGAGGGGAACAGTAAGCTGACCCCCTCTGCCCCCAGCCCACCACCTCATCACAGTCAGCTTTGCACAGCACTGCTTATCCTCCCTGCGCAACACCTGAAGCCAAACACCAGTTTCATCCTGGTGCTCTCAGAATAACGATGGTTCAAACTCTGGTACCCACCTGCTGACTTTTCATCAGCTTCCGCTTTGGTCACCTCCTGGGTCACTGCAGGGAGGAAAGGAGACTGAGAGTCAAAGATGAGCTGAGGCCCCAGCACAGAAGCAAGTGTTGATTGCCACCTGCTTTTACTATACAGAAAGTATGGACACAAGTGTTCCTTTGGCTCAGGTCTGGCACCAAGGGGCTTTCCCACCAAGACTGCTGACTGGATTATGTCAATGGGCAAACAGCCATCTTCAGGGTTGGGGTCAGTGATGTACCCCTTGAGTATTTGCTAACAACCATTCCTGGTTTATGTTTTCTGAGCAGCAGCACCTGGCCGGGTCTGCAGCTGTGTTGCAGGCATGAGGAAGCTGAGAAGTCCCCGCTTTCTTTCCCTGGCACTTGATTATAGGAAACCCAGACTGTAAGGAAGAAACCACAACATGCCTCAGCTCCTTGTTTTTATGCAAATAGCCACTGGCTTAATTTTGGAGGAGGCAAGGTCATCTGCTGTGAGTACTTGATTGAAATCTCATTCCTTTGGGGTATAGCTATAATGCAAAACCCACCTAAGAGACAAGTTAGTTTTGCACAAGCAATCAGATCTGTGGTGTATGCTGTTGCAGCCGATCATCAAGGGACTGAAAGATGTCCACTCCATGAGAGGGGCAGACAGCCAGCTCCCTGAAGAAGACTTCATGGCATGCTTTTGTAAAGAGAGACAGAGAAGAAATTGTGGTCTGAAGGGCTGTTAGCTATGAAAGACTTAGCTAGACACAAATTGATTCACTTTAAAAATGCAGTCATTACCTTCAGGTTTTCCTGCAGAGAGCAGCTTGATCTGTAAAGAAATAGACTGGGCATCATTCAAAGATAATTTCTTTGTCTATAATTTGGGGTAATTTTTCCTCTCTCTCTGGAAAGTATTAAATGTATTCAAAAAAGCAGCAGAAAATAGCAAGAGCCTAAAGTGGGCACATAAGCTCCCCAAGAGCTATTCCCGTTAAGGAGACCACCTAAGAGGTCAGCTTAGGGACTTTCCCTTCCATAATATGGTCGCTAGCACATCAGATGCCATTCTGTTACATATATGTGTTATCTGCAGATCTGATGCAATTGCAATGCAAAGTGTTGCTCTGGTGACCTACACCCTGGTGGGCATGATTTGTGCCAATGATACTCATGGTATGCTTCATATTCAGTGAGTGCAAAAATAGCCAAATGTAGCAAAGCATTACAGAATGGGGTTGAAATTAGGCTTAGTCTTGATTTAGTAAATGTTTTAAGGTTGCTTAAATACCTGCTTAAAACTTCCTGATGAACTGAGACCTTGTTCTTTTTTATTTTTACTTTCCTTCTTCTCCTGGGACTTGGTGAGTCTGGGCTGCTCCCTGAGATGGGTGCTGAGGGCATCCATTTGCTGATGGACACAGTCCATAACTGCCCACTGGTCCTGTGATGGGGTGTCACGGGGTGTCTTGTTCTTTTTCTTCAATTAAAAGGGGCAAGAAATTAACAAGAAGACTTGAACATAGTAAAAATAGGTCTGGAGCCACCTCTTCCCTTCTCCAGCAAGGGCAGCTCTCTGGATTTTTTATTCATTATTAAGATGCCTTCCAAAAGACAGATCTGGCTTTGCAGAAGAGGTATGGCCACCTTCAAAGTCTGCTGGTGGCAAGCCTGTGTCTTCTCATCAGCCGTGATAGGATGTGGCTTTGGTCACTGCATTTCTTTTATTCTTTCCCCTTCATAACACGGCTTTGAAGTCCAGCCAAGGCTCATTGGAAGTGTGTAGCCCTGCTTTTTCTTCCTACCACTTACTGGGGTGATCTGCAGAGAGAGCATCTCCAGTTCTTCTGAAAAGACCTAAAATCTCTGGATTTGAACCATAAAGGAAATGAAGCCTTTTCTGAGTGAGGTGCTTGGGAGCTAGCAAGGACATCTGGCACCTATCTGGACTTCCTGTGTGCTGTTCTTCCTATGTACTGTTCTTCCTGTGCAAGTCCTTCAGTTCCTACCTCTGCTCTGCCCTCTGCCAAATTAAATACATGGGCTTTTCTCTCCTTGGCTTGTGGACATTGAGAAGGAGGCAGATTGCTCCTATTTAAGTAAATAAATGTATTTTGTTTATTTAAGTGCTTTTCTATATGGTGAACTTCTGCAGTGCTCTGGTGAGGATGGGCTTCCTTGCAATAAGCAGGCTGACCTACGACTGTGACATGACATCTGCACCCTTCAGGACCCATTTCTGGACTCAGATTGTCCATGCTCTACACCTGTGTGAGGCCGTGGCTACCTGAACCTGAGCTAAGACCGGACAAAGCAGACGCACAGAGGTGCATGGATGTGGGTCCCTCTCCATCCAAATGCATCTCCTGGGATTCACAGTAAGGACACAGGTACAGCACTACTCACCTGCACCGCCATCCTCTCCCTCTCTGCCCTGCCTGATGCCTGCCACCATGCCTCCTCAGTGTCATCATCCCGCAGGGTTCCCAGGTTGGACTCCAACACCTCTCTGGCATGAAGCTCCTGCAGCTTCTGGAGTGGGGAAAGGAAGGAGCTGTGTGTTGCACAGGAGGCTTCGCTTTCCTCCTGGGGAACCCAAACTTGGCCAGCCACTGCTTCTGACCCCAAAATGCTTATGTACTCCAGGAACTAAGAAATGAGGCCTCTTTGGGTTGTGAACCTGTGATGCCACCTAGACCAGATGAAGCAGAAGGCTTGGATGTCCCCTCGCCTGCTTGTGCTTGCTTACCCCCTCCATGGCACTGCTCCTGCTGGCCATGTCTTTGAATGCTGTGAGGAAGAGCTGCTTCAGGCCATCTATCTCTTCATGCAGCTTTGTCCTCTCCTCCTCTTTCCACCTTTCCAAATATTTCCTGCTTTCCTCTTCTCGCTGTCGAGCTCTCTCTGTTTCCTAAAGGGAACGGAAAAATCAGGGCATGACATGGCTTGGCTACAGAGCAGAAGTACCAAAGGCTGGAGCTTTTGCCCTGGTGCCAGTGGTATGAGCACCAATGCTCTCATTACTCCCATCACTGCTCGAGCCTGCCTGCACACCAAGGGAAGTTTGAGGCAGTACAGCCTCCTGGGCAGGCATGCTTACACTGTCCTTATTTCCATGTAACATTTCCCCTAGGAACTGGGGGGAAGGGAGCAAGTTTTCCAAAGAAATAAACACAAGACCCACCATAAAATATTTTGCAGCAGTTTTTTCACCTGTGATTTAAAAATGCCCTGCATTTCATCACTTCTCTTCCCACCCCATCTTTTCCAGACAGGCAACAGTGCCCTTGCCCCATACCTGCTCCCTGTGCAGCTTCTCCACTTCCCTCTCTGCTTGCAGCTGCTGCTGCATCTCCCTCAATTTTGCCTTCAGCTCCTCCACTTCATCCTCCATTTGCTCCACCTGTCTCATCTTCCTCCTCTCTGCAAAGCTCAGGGAAACAGAGATGCTGTGAGCAAGGGTGTGATCTGTCAGCTCCTACTGGGGTTTTGGTTTGAGTAAGGTGGAGAATCCTACTGAAGCGGTATAGGGTTTCAAAGTGAAGAAGCAGGTAACTGAGCTGCAGGAGTGACCATGACAAATGTGGCTGTGTGGCCAGCAAATAGCAAAAGCAGCTTTTTTGTCTGCCAAGTTTAAGTGCTGGATGCAGGTGAAGCTGTAACAAGGCCCCTTGCCTCCCAAACATCGTCTTGCACTTGCAGTTTTCAATGGGTTTTGCAAAGGAATATCAATTTCTTGCCAAAAAACAGGCATGGGAAAGGTGAACCCCTCTCCCATTCCAGCAAAACACTCTCCCAAGCTCCCCAGAGGAGCTCTATCCCATGGAATAATTGGGTGTAGAAGATCCTTAGGGAAACCAGGGCATGGAGATGTAAATGCACCACAGTTTTGTATTTCACTCTATGTCCTACCTGTGCTTGAGGGAAATGCAGTAAGCAGAGAGCATTCAGTCAATGTTCACAGAAATGCAGAAGAAAGGAGTTATAAGAAGTTATCCTTAACCTCCTATGGTCACTCTGGTGGGAAAACCTGCCTGGGAAAGAGAGGGAAGACTTTGTCCCAGTGCTCACCCTTCTCGGTGGTCTCTGCGTGCCGGCGCTGCACATGGGCTTGCAGGAAGGAGCTGTTCATGAAGGCTTTATCACAGAGGTGGCACTGAAGAAGGGGAAAAGTCAGTAGAGGGACTGTAATCTGCAGAAAAGGGCACTCCCCATGTCCCTTGCAAGGCAGGCAAAGCTTTGCTGCTTTAGAGCAAAAGGGACGACCTCAAGAGACATGGCTGTTGTGTTGGAAGCACATAGAAGGAGGGTATTAGGAGTTTCTTCTGTCTGAAACCAAAGGAGAAGGCAGAAGCCAAGATGGTCCAGGAAAAACTGCTGTTTTCCCCAACGGAATAGTGCAATAATTGCAGTCACCAAGGCTCTGGTTATAATGGGGTCATTTGCTTGCAGGGATTATTGGGCTGTATGAACCTAAATCATGTGGTTTGGGTGCTTTAACTCTCCAGGAGTGAGTGGGTTGATTTGGTGAAGGCGAAGCAGCAGGCACAAAAGGCACATCCAGCAGGCTCCCTGCTGAAAGGGTGGAAAAGCCGGGTGGGGGTTAAGAGCAAAATCACCACCAAATGCAGGAGCATCCAGAAATCTTTCACTGGAGAATGCCTAAAGTCTCCCTGGCACGAGGTGTTCCTCCAGGACACAGGGATCTCCCGAGATCTCCCTATACAGACCTCTTGTCCTGCATTTTGTGCATCTCTGACTACCTGTAGCTGTCCCCTCATGAAAGAAGAGTTTCCCTCTCAGCTGGCAGTGACTTTGCAATTGCACCAGGGAAAGTAGCAGGGCCAGGGAGAGCACCTTCTCTGGGGCCAAGGTTTAACCACAGAAAGGTACAAATACAGCATACAACAAAGAGCATCCTGTATGGGGACGTGCTCTACACCCCTTACACCTTTCCATCACACACCTTGCAATAGATGTTGGGGCCAGCTTGCAAAAGGGGCTGCTGTATGGCAAGCAACTTCTTCCATCTTCTGCTCTCCTCTTTTGACACTTGGAGCTGCACCACCTGCTCTGCTGCCTGCTGCTGGGTGGAAGCCAGCTCTGCACGGGCAGCTTCCAGGCGCTGGGTGTGCATGGCCAGGCTGGTCCGCAGGCGCTCCTGGCAGTGCAGGAGGTACTCGATGCTCAGCTGGGCCATCCTGAGCACCTTGAGCAGGACGGGGTCTGCCGGCTGCCCGCAGTGGGGGCACCGCTCCCCATCCAGGTTACAGAAGGTGATGCTGGCAATGTGCTCCTGCAGCACAGCTACGTCCACCTCCCTGGCCACCCGCTCCACATCAATGGCACTGAAGCGACGCCAGTCCACACTGATCCGGCGGGGCTGGAAGTGGAAGGGGGGGATGTCCACTGGGATGGTGAGCCGTGGGGATGTCCCCAGCATCCCTGCAGCCCCAGTCATGAGTTGGTGGAATGGGTGGTAAAAGTCTGTAGAAAAGTGCTGGAAGGCAAAAGGGAAGGTTTGGTTAGGTTAGGCCTGACCCCCCGGGTCCACAGCAGCTCCCACCAGCCTGCACACAGTGGGGGAACTGGGGAGAGGGTGGAGCTTACCTTATGTAGCAACAAACAAAAATCCTTTTCATTTTCTATTCCCATCCTTACTACCTGCTGCCTTGCCAAATTCTGAAATACAGAAATCCTGCCAGTTTGTTCACCATCTGCTTTTGGTAAGGGAGACTTCTAAAACTGCCAGATTGGAACTCTATAATAACCCATTCTGAAGGGAGCTGTAAATCCCCCCTGAGGGTACCTGTTTTAGGGAAACGGAATTAGCCTGTTTTGAAAACAATACACGATGAAAACTGGACATGCTTTAGTATCACAACAGTCTGCTGCCTTCTGTGGTGCCCTGCTCTGACCTAAAACTAAACCACTGCAAGAAGCAGTGTTTGCTCATTTTCTTAGTAGTGTCCTAAACAATAATTAAACAAATATAGTTAAAATACCTAGTTTTAAATCTGTGAAATAGACCTATGTTGTTCTTAGTCTCTAGATAGAGATTTGCTGCTGCTGTTTCTATTTCCACTCTGCTACACCCCCCCCACCACCTTTAAGATAGTTCATTTTTTATTGCTGAAGGGTCACTTACCATATTTTTGGGTGCAGATGGGGCACCTACACAGGTTGAGTGCCCCAGGATGTTGGTCAAGCAGCCAGGGGCAGTGTTGGTGTATTGGTGTGTTGCTGGGTGTGCTGTGTACAATGGTAACAGGAGTCCCAGCCAGCCTAACACTCTGCAACACGTGCCCTCCCCAGCCTGCAGCTACTGCTGTGCTTCCAAACAAACAGGGTCAGTCAACCCAAGGAGGTGCTGAATAACTGCGTGCATGGTGCAAGAAAACCAAGCTTTCCTAGGCTGTGCTCTGCTGACTCAGAGGAAGAATGGGCAATGGTTGTCACTGCCCGTTCGCAGCAGGAAGAGTTCCCCAAACCAGCTTCTTTTTTTCCTAATTTCAGTCCTAAAAATGTTGTTCACAAGTGGGAGGCTCCAAGGCTTCCATTTGCCAGCTTTTCTCCAAGGCTTGGCCCCACCAGGCACACCGGGTGATGGTGGCATAAGCAGAGCTGAGCAAGGGCAAGGGGCTGCTAGGCTGAGCCAGCCTTCCATTGGCTTACCAACTGAGAGCCCAGCAGAGACACTTTCCATGGTGCCTGCATATGTGCTGGGATAAAATGATCCTGTTCCCAAGTTCTTTTGACGCTGGAACAGTCACAGGATTTCCCAGGAGTTATCTGGGGTTGCACAGGGTGGAGCTGCTTAATGCTGATACTGCAGCCAGTGATGTCTGCAAGCCAGTGAGCATTTTCCATCCCACAGGACTGTTTTTCCATCCCTACGAGCATCTTCACTACACTCACTGCTGGGATTGCTTCATCTGCATGGTGCTTCCTGTGTCCTTACAGGGCTGTTTTGCTCAGTCCAGCTCAGCATCATTCAAACCTATTGCAACTCTGTAAAGTCCTCTGTCAGGGACACAGGGTCCTCTCCTGCCCTAGGTAAGCTCGTTCATATCTCTGTCTCTCTCTAGTCTACTTTGTCAGGTCATCTGGTACCTTTTTGCCTCTAGCCCCATCTCCTATCAGGGCTTCTCCCTGCTGCATGTAAATACTAAGGGCCAGTGACCGCTCTGAGCCAGTCTGGATCAACTTGGGTGGCTCTTTTAAACACTTTTTAGGCTCTACACCAGTTTCACGGGACCCTCTCTTCTTTCTCAACCTTCTCTCTCATATTGCACTGCCAAAATATAGTAGGAGACAGGAAAGCCTTAGAGGCTGCAGCTAACTCGGGAAGAGGTCACATACCAGTGCAGACAGAGCATGAAAGCCTCTGGGAACAGTTGTGGATCAGTGTGACATTGTAGTTAACCACAGTTTCCCTCTAGGGATTGCTCAGCTATTTTTCTTTTCTGGTGCCTACCCAAAACCACCAGCTTAGCAAGCCCCTTCTCTTCCAGGTTTGTATGGCCAGCAAACACCATCGTTGTCCCTGATGTGATATATATATATATGTATGTATATGTACTGTAGCAGCACTACAGTGTCAAGCAACCCAACCCATTGTATCAGCAAAGTGAAGTGTACTTATATATACATGCATTCATATATGGGTATATGCGTGTGTATATCCAGGTTTAAATTCAGCCCTGACTCATAGCTGCATGTTACATAGACCTGTTGGGTCGTGGTGCATGTTCCCTGCACGGAAGGTTTTGTTACATGAATTAACTACTCCTATAAAGGAGGGTTTTGCAGGCACCATTAATTAAAACTCCCCTAAGGATATACTGCATCCCCCAGGGCTGTGTTGACCAACTTTGTTAATATTAACTAGATCTCCAGGCACCAAAGCCAGCTGTGTTTCACCCAGCCCTCAATGCCAATCAATCACAGCAATCACAATTACTCAATGCCTTCAATCATAGTATTGTTGTGATTGCCCCAACTCCTCCTTCAGGTGCCTTTTCCTACAAAATGCTATATGAGGTCTCAGACAGCATAGCTATGGCTTCAGCAGGAGGTTGATTGGAGGGTAAAGCCACTGCATTAGGGAATCTGGGAAGCCAGCTCTGGAGACTTTGTTTTTCCTCTTCAATCTTTGCCTGGGACAGTACTCTGCTGGTGTAAAGTAGTAAAAGGTATTTTGACTTCCATGCTGTAATGTAATGCAATGTCCGTTGGTGCAATGGAGAGGCTGGCAAAAGCTGTCTTAATCACCCACAAGGGAAATGTTCAAAGTGTTCCTTCACTAGGACTGAGATTTTGCTCACTGGGTGATAAAGATACCAGCCTTGAGGGGTGCAGGTCCATTACAGAGGGAACAGCTTGTACCACCCACCAGAGCTTAGAGCTGAAGGTGGTCACCTGCACTGTTTCCACTCCAATGTGCAAAAGCCAGCTGTGCCATAGTGCTGGAAGAGCTGGGTCTCAGAAAACATGAGGGCTTTCATTTCATTCCAGGCTGGAAGATGGTGAGTTTTCTGTCTCAGCTCACAGCTGCTGGGCGGTCCTCTTCTCTGCAAACCTCAGCCTTTGTCAAAGAAATTTCTTCTCATTCCCTTCTCTTCTGCCCTTCCCCACTCCCACCCTGGGGCTTTCCTCACCTTCCTGAGCTCTTTAAGGGCTTCTTTTTTAATCTGCAAAGTCTAAAGGCCCCAGGTGCCGGCATCTCTCTGCTGACCTGGGAGCCTGCAAGACTTTGGGAGGCACCTTACCACAAAGGAGAGAGTTCTCAGGGGACTGAGACTCACAAGCTGCTTCAGCAGCTTCCCCACCTCCTCCAGACCCTTCCCAAAACCTGCCATCACCTCTCTCTTTTTCAGCTTCTCTTCTTGCTAAAAGGTAAGCTCCTGGGGCTCATACAGGGTGGGTGCAGGAGAAACCCTCCCATGCAAGACCTTTGGGGAGGTTGGCTGTGCTTGCTGCCATAAGCTGTGCTTTGTTAGAATTCCTGGCTGTGCACGCAGGAAGGAGGGAGAAGTGGGAAGGGCTCGGACCTCATCTGAGAGGAGCCGCTATGTAACGCAGCAGCCTCTGAAATATTTCTCGCCTGAGCTCATCTGCAAAGGGAGCTCCAGTGGGTCAGGTCTTTGTCCAGTCCCCAGCCCTGTCCCTCCCTTCAACTGACACAGCCAGTGCCCAGAGTGGGGTGCATGGAGAGTCGAGCCACGGGGCAGAAAAAGGCCAATACTCACTTGCTGCTAAACTGAAGAAGGGGGGTGAGGACCGGACCGGAGCTATGGCTGTGTGCCGTGAGAAGGGCTGGGAGCAGCTGGGGGCTGGCTGAAGCCGAAACAGGAAGAACTTCGTGAAGTCACTGAAACGTGTAGATGTGGCAGTTAAGGACGTGGTTTTATGGTGGACCTGGCAGTGCTGGGTTAATGGTTGGTATCAAATGATCTTACAGGTCTTTCCCAAGCTAAACAATTCTATTATTATATGACTTTATGGGCTGAAAACTTAAACCCCTCCCCTGAATCCCCTCAGCCCAGGGAAGTCAGAGGAAAAGCAGCTCCTGATGCCACAAGCAGGCAAACACCCCTCTAATGGGATGAGGCGGGGGCGGGCGACACGCTAAACCAGTGTGGACGGCACCAGGGTGTGAAATTGATGTCCCCATGCTGAGCCGTGAGAGCTTCACCCTAGGAAAGGGAACAGCAAAGTGCATATGCCCTTGTGTGCAGAGGGCTTTCTTCTCCCAATTAATCCTGCTGCCATTTCTAGATGCAGAATATAGGCTGCTGATTGCAGCATGCTCATTAGCTGCAGTGTTTACAGAAGATAGCATTGTGCAGATGGCAAACATTCCATGACGGGCGACCGATCCACCTCCGCCTTTCTGTTTCCGAGCTAAAAACAGCTGTTCAGGCAAGCTCAGGAGAGATTTGCAAGCTGGCCTTCTTTATAGGGGACTGGGTGGATCTGGAATTACCCTGGGAAAAAAAGTAAATGCAGCGGGATGCATTACCCTCCAGCAGGAGGTGGCCTGTTGGGTTAAGGGGGGGGGGGGGGGGGGGTTGCACAGCTGAACAAGAGTCCAAGAGCTGCTGCACCTCATTTCCAGGGTAGTTGAACTCCATTTATTTCAGAGGGGTTTGGGAGCCCTGAACAGCCATCCCTATCCTTCCTTGGTGCCTCAGCACCTCCCTTCCAGGGAGACATGTGACTCTTTACAGCTTGAACTGATGTCAGAGGATGGGGCAGTGCAGCCCCCGACTGTAAGGAACCCAAATAAAACTGCAGGAGCACAGACATTGCTAGAATTGGAGTCATTTTCCAGGGGCATGCAGGGGAAAGTAAACCCAGAGAAGTGGTGGTCTATTAAGCATTTTATTTTCACTTGCACTAGTACGGTCCCTCTCAAAAACGTAGGGTGAAAAGTGTGTGAGAAAAAACACAGGTTAATGAAAAGACAGGGATTTGGGCTTCTCTTCATTAGCAATTGCTGTCATCCATCCTCTGCTATTACATTTGCATTACACTTGCCTCAGAGGCTTCAGCCCAGTCCAAAGCCTGTTGTCTTTGCAGCTTTTCTGACATAGGAAGGTAGCCAATATCGGTGGGAGGTGCAGAGATGGAATTCTTCCCAGGAGGCTGTGCATCTCTTTAGGAACTTTTCCCTTAGAAAAGCTCACTACTAAGTCCTGTAAATCCATTTGATTCAGGAAGGTTTGGTTCATGAGCACCTGTAAGGAGAAAGAATTGAGGCAAAATTGTCACTAGTGTCACTGGAGGCTATGCCTGATGGATATCCACCACCATTCTGCCCATGCATCTTAGTATCCCAAGGGAGTACTGATGGTGGTTAGGAAAATGTCTTTCTCCTACAAAGCCAGCTGCTGACACCAGTGGTGACTGTGTTTTGGCACCAGGGTGGGGAGCACTTTGAAGGATCGTCCCCCTTCCTCCTTACACCATGTCAGTGTCCTCATAGAATGTGAAATTTTCCAGCTCTGCATTTTGTATCAGGTCCTCGTATGTGGTGGGGCAATAGGCTTTATACAGTTTCTCAGCCAAAGTGTTGCTGCCTGCAATCACAGCTTTCCGGTTGTGGTTCATGAAGTTCCACAAGTGCAGAGCGTAGGAGTGGCTGAAATTGGGGCTTTTGTCCCACACCTCATAGTACCGGCCCCAAGCTGGGTATGGTATCGGGTAGAAACGCTGGGGATTGAGGAAGGAGATGTTCTGGCAGCTGTGGTCCTCAGTGCCTTTGAAATCCGTGAGATTGCAAATGGCCTTGAGCATCCGTGTCATTAAAAAGGGCCCCTGGTTACCCCAGATGTTCCCGTTGTACTTGAGAACAAAGTTCTCCATGCAGTCCCAAATAAATTTGTGGTGGGCAGGGAAGCCAAAGATCCCATTGCTGGAGAACTGTGACTTCTGTGCCGCTAGGAAGCTTTCCTCAGGGATGGGCCTGATAGAGATGACATCTGTGTCCATGTAGATGCCTCCATACTTCCAAATGAGTGCCAGCCGGCTGGCATCAGAGCTGACATGGACCCAGTTCTTCTCCAGCTCTGGGACTACCTGCAGAGTTAGAAAGGTAAGACAATGTTGGCACTGGCGAGAACAGACCACATCCATCCACTGGGCTGCAAATGTCACCATAAAACTGCACCTGCACTCCTGCAAATGTCACTCGCTGCCTTCTCTTCCTCCAGCTATTGAATTGTATTGGTATAAGGTAAGGGGGCAGTGCAGAACAATGTTTTGTTAATATAAATGAATGCAGGAACTTTTCACATGGGTTTTGTGGGACCTACAAGGTTAAATCAATGATACCATTATTCATTGCCTGCTATTTCAGTGGGACACAACCCACTTAACACACTCCCTCATCACTCCCAGCTCTTTGAAACAGGCTGGAGGGTTTTCATTTGCACTGTTGGTATTTGGAGTTATTTTTTTTTCAGGAGAAGGAAGAGTTTGGAGGAAATGTGCCTGCCCTGCACATAGATTGAGCCAAACTAACTTGACAAAAGCTACTTGCAAGCAGTTTCCCAGGAACTTCTTTCCAGGGTGCAAGATCTTACCTTGGTTTTGCATATTGCGAGTACAAAACCTGAAATCTCTTCCTTGTCTTACCTACTGTGGGCTCTGTCAGTGTGTTGGCAGCATTAACAAGTGCTCAGGCAGCTCATTTTGTTTAACCAGCTTCAGTTGAAGCAGATTATTAAGCGCTGTTTTATCAAAACACGTATGCAGTCTATTTTTACCAGTGTTTCGTTTGCCAAAATATCTGATTCTCCAGATAGGGCGGAGGGGAAATGATGATAATGTGTTCAATAAACAAATCAATGAATACACTGCAAAACACAGCCAGAGTGTATCTATTCCAAAGCAAAACATAAAAGTGACTAATTTCACAAAGCCAGTTCTGGTTTTTATCATTCATTTGAAGCCTACTTCAGACCTTCCCCCTTCCTCTCCCCCATTTGTAAATGTTTTCTATTTCCCCTTCATTATAGAGCTCACCTGATTGTACCACTGGAGCAGAGGGGTCTCCCGGAAGACAGTTTCCATCTGGAGAGGAAAAATGAAGACATTCTTCATAGAAGACAAAAGCGAGAAGGCTGCGTAGCTGGAGTTCAAGTCCAATGCTGTGTCATTTGTAAGTCCCTTCATGAAGAGGATGACGGGCCGGTCCCGGTAAGTCCTGGCAGCAGACTCCACTGAGCAGGACACCAGTGGGGGGGGCTCCAGGCGCTCTGTCGTCTCCAGGAAAATGATGCTTTTGCCAAGGTTCAAGACCTGCTCAGGTGTGAAGAAGTGCTTGGGCACAGGCATGTAGGAGAAAAAGCAGCTGGACAGCAGGGAGATCTCGTACAAAATGCCCGAGACAAAGAAGAAGCAGAGGCATATCTGTATTTTCTTCAACATTCTTGCTTTCCCTGGGCCTTTAGGGTCATGCATTGGATGTGAATGCTAAGGAGAGACAAGGAACAGCAAAAATATATGCCAGTGTTATTAGCTAACAGGGCTGGGAAATATAAGACATGTCTTTGGACAGCATATCACAAAGGCAGTTCGGTGAAAGTCATGCCTTTTCCCCAGGACAAGCCTGGTGAGATGTCTCATGGTGGAGAGGGCTCTTCCCTTGGGGCAAAGTGCTGGGGTCCCACCTCCTCACCCCCAGCCAGACAGAAGGAATCAGGGGAACTCTTGGGGAAGGGACTTGCAGCTATGTCTCATGGCACATATATGCTTTCGTTAGATTGGCAGAGAGGGAAGAACAAAGGGAGAGAGCAGGGAGAACAAGGTGAGAAGGATCACCTTGCCCAATGCCAAGCAAGGATCCCTGGGCCCATCCCTGGGGCTGGCTGATATAGCAAACTGTTCCCAAGCACTTCATCATCATGCCAGCCCGCGCTTGTCCACAAGCAGGAGAAGTCCAGGGTATCTGAGGAACAAAATGTGCCAGTGGAATAAAGTGGCCAAGGGGGCTGTGAGTGCCAGTGAGGGTAAAGTCATGATTACAGTTCGGGATCTGTCAGCCAAAGCTAAAACACTGGCATGTAGGCACCAAGTCTCCTTCCTAGTCTGGCCCTTCTGCTCACAATTGAACCCAAAAGGCCACTAGGGACTTGGGCCCTGCTGGGGTGGGTGATGGAGAAGGACCAGAGACAGGTAGGTATAAGGATGTGTCCTGGGTTCAGCAGTAGCAGTCATGTTTCTCCTTCCTGGTAGCTGGTGCAGTGCAGTGTTTTGACTTTCGGCCTGAGAACAGAGCTGATAACAATGATGTTTTGGTTTGGCCAAGGACTTTGTGAGGCTCATGCTCTGCCAGGGAGGAGGGGAAGCTGGGAGGAAGCAGAGACAGGACACCTGACCCAAACTAGCCAAAGAGGTATTCCATACCACAGCATGTCATGCCCAGGATGTAACTGGGAGTGAGCCGGAAGGGCTGGGGGACTGCAGGGTTGGAGGAGGTATGGGTCAGTGCTTGGTCGGGCTTGGGGGGTGAGTTATTGGTTGGCTGGTGGTAAGGTGTTGTATTCTCTTCCCTTGTTATTTCCTTTATCATTATTATCATCGGTGGTAGCAGTAGTGATTTGTGTTATACCTTAGTTACTAAACTGTTCTTATCTCAACCCGTGGGAGTTGCATTCTTTTCGATTCTCCTCTTTGTCCCTCTGGTAGTAGGGGGAGGGAAAGAAGTGGGGGAGTGAGTGAACGAGTTACCTGACTGGGTTTAAACCACGACAGGATGGAAAGTGGATGGTTTTGTACAAGCGAGGAACTAGGACCTACCTGGATTATGGTTCTGACAAATCCACATTTCCAACTTGTTTCTTTGCCAGCACACTGGCAATCAGGCTGCCTTAAAGCCCAGCTCCTTGGTGAAGACACCCAAACTGTCTTGAACATGCAAATGGATTTCTGAAGGCAGAAGACTGATGCACAGGGGAAAACTGGCTATGCTGCAAGCTAAGTCTCAGTCCCAGACACAGTTTGGTACCAATGGGACCCACCTGAAAGGACAAAGAAGGGAGAGGTTTTAGGTGAGACCTGTCTCATACCTACATCAGCCTGGCCTAGCTCTTCGTTCCTCGTCTTGCCAGGAATGCCTGGTGAGCCTGTACAACACTGAGGAGTTCCTGCTGGTGAGAGGCTGGAACTTAAGCATTGCACTGTCTGACAGGTTTATGAAGCAAGGAAATTCCCTTCTGAAATGCCACCCGCTTGCATCTGAGTAGCCCTCATTGGTTTTGCAGAGATCATATGCTGGGCTCCAGCAGAGACTAGATACTTGGAATGACAACCCAATGTCCAAGCAACACCTGGAAGTCTTTAAAACCTACTTAATGAAAGGGAATGGAAGGAAACAGTTCTGTGTGCTCGGGTAATTAATGAGATACATTATCATGTCACCCAGGCAGAATACAGATAAGTCCACAGCACTGCAAACCCTGTGGAAATTCCCCTGCAAGCGCTAAGCATGCACTTGAAGCTGTGGCAGCTCCTGATCCATTTCTCAGTGCTAGATCTCATCAAATTAAATATTAAAGCAATGACTATTCCCATCAGTACAGCTTTCCATGCCGCACAGCAGATTCTGTTATTTTCCATTGCCACTGCACAAAGTTTCTCATTACACCCTGGGTGAAGTGGGTGATAGTGCTGTAGCCACAGGTACCAATGTGGCTTTGGGTACGTCATGCCGGTCAAAGCAGCATGCAGAGAAGGGAATGCTGCTTTTTAATTATTATTACTTTTCACATGGTTTTCCCACTTTCTGTCAGCCCCAGCACTCTGCAGAGGAGCCCCTGCTGTGAGAGGCAGCACCTTGTGCCCAGGGCCTCTTTGTAGATATCAAATTTTAACGGAAGGCAGGGAATGGAGAGCAAATACAAGCAGCTGGGGAACGACTTGTTCCTAAGCCTGAAGATAAACCAGCCCCAGTGATGCTCAGGTGCAGTGTGAATAGTTGCTGCTGAATCCAGCAGGAGTGAGATTAAAAACAACTACATTGCTAGAACAACATTTCCTTCTACAGTCCCATCCTGCCTCTTTCCCAGACACATGTTTCTCACTTACTCCAGCTATTTGAAGATAAAACAGAAAGAAAAAGTTGCCCCCTCATAGCTCTCTTGCCAATCTCAGCTTTGCCAATTTTCAAGCTTGCTTGTTTTCAGCTCTGACCTAAACCTGCTGCTGTTCTGTGCTGTTGCTCCATTGTATTCCAGGGACTGGTGCTCCCTCCTTCTTTTCCTTGCAATTTTAAATATCTTGATGCCACTCTCTTGGCAATGTTTGCTTGAAGCAGAAAACCCAGACTTTGCTTTGATTAGAAATAAGACCATCAGGACATTCCTATTACTGGATTAATACTTCTCCTTTGATGGCCTAAAGACCCGATGTCTTTATGAGCACCCTAGCAAAGCTGTGCTAGCAATAGTCATTCAAATTTAAAATAGTCCAGGAGGCATTTTATTTGCAAATTGTGGGGAGAGAATGAGTTGACACTCCAACACATCCCAGCTCTGTGTATGACATTGTGAAGAGAAACACGAATCTTCATCGTCTCATTCTGGGAAATTGTTTTGCTTGGTTGGTTTTCCAAAACCCCTATGTGGCGGGTTATGAATTCTCATCACATTTGACCTGGAGGCTGCTGTTATCAAAATGTTCACTTCCCCGCTCAAGTTAAAAGGACTGCAGAACCAAATGTTAAAAATAAATCCCAGCCATTGAATAGATTACCCTGCTGAGTGGGTTGCTTTTCTGGATGCAGCAGACGGCATGCTGGCTTGATGGCCCATCTTGTAAAGATATTTCTTTTCTCAGGGCAATTTCAGTATTTCAAGTGCAGGATGAAAACGGGTGGGAGACTACAAGAGAGATTACTACGAATGCCAGTGCACTATAGTACTGTTACTGCCATGTGATGATTTGTCTGAGGTGTTCATGAGACAAGTGCAGCAGGAAGATAGGACTGGATGTTTTTCAGTAAATGCCACCAAAGGGAGTAAATCAATGTGCCAGGGTGCTGGCAGCCCTGCACACCCCGTCCATATCACAGCCTGACCCTACAAACGCTGGGGTCCCTGAAGCAGCAGCTTGAGCATCCCTCAAGATTCAAAAGAGAGACTCTCATCCTCCTGTTTATTCCAAACACTGCATCTTTCCTTTGAGAACCAGCGGGTTTTGTGTTTGGGTCTGCACCCATCCAGCTGGGTGATTGTCCTTCTTTCTTCTGGAAGGGAATAACTCCAAGGCAGTCCATGTTTGTAACACACACAGCATCCCTTGAATCTACCTGGGCTTATTTCCATGTCTCTATAGAATCTACTTGAGTAAATTACAGCTAGAATCGAGTTAGCGCACGTCTGTGCACTTCAAAGCCAACTTCCTTACAGATTTAACACCAGGCACATTTGGAAACCTCTTTCAAATGGAAAACCTGTCGAAGAATATATCGCATTCATTGCAGACTGTAATTAAACAGCCGTTCCAACCTCCAGCAACTCATGCAAATGAAGCGGCTTCTTACTGCACAGCTTCTCACCTGTTTTCTGATTCTACAACCTGACATGCTTAGAGATAAAGCAAAACTCACCTCTTGGCTGCAAAAAGCTGGCAGTGTGTAGTATATTGGGAAGTAAAGCCAAGCTGAACCACACTGGAAGGTGTCCACAGCCGCTGGTAAGCCCTTTGCCTGTGCCAGAGGAGCTGCACTGCCTCTCCACAATCTTCTGCACTACCTCTCCACAATCTTCTGCCCTGCTGGGGCTTGGAGCAGCCTCATGGCTTGTTCTCCACCAGCTCTGGTGTTTGCATTCTTGGTGTACTGAGATAAGGCTGAGCAAGGAGCTAGGGTTGTGCTTTCGAAGGTGCAAGGAACAGAGGAACAGGCAGTGCAAGGTGCTTTGGGCAGCAAAACGTGAGCCCCACCACTCATGAGAGATGGGTGGGACTGAGCAAAGTGGGTTCCCTTTGCATCTTTTCAGGGTGGTTTGCAGTGTATTAAGTCTTCTCTCTTTGTATGGAAACCATGCTTATGGAGGCTACTTTACTGCTCTTTGCCCTATAGCAAAAAAGAGCTTTGTTTGAATGGCATTGATGTTCTGAATACTTCCAAAGGCAATGACAGGGTCTCTTATACATTCCAAATAACATGACATATCCTGAACTGGCTGCCTGACCAGCTTCCCATTAGAGATCAGGCAGGCAGGGAGGTTTGCTGATCCGTCAGAGCTTCTGCTTGTCCCCACAGCCTGTACCCAGGAGGATGCCTTGAGGGGTGCAGGAACATCATCAGGTGTCCTTAGAACTGGGATGATCCACTTCAAATTGGTTGGATACCCCAAAGCTTTCCTGGCCCTGGAGTATAAGGGGTATGAATTTCAGTGGCCATCCTGTGCTGGGACAGCAGAATTTGTAAGAGAGAGGTGGAGCTGTAGTGCCGGAGACATCTCCCCAGTGCATCTGTCCTGGCAGTGTTCAAGGCCAGGTTGGATAGGTATTGGAGAACCTTGTCTAGTGGAAGGAGTCCCTGCCTGTGACAGGAGGTTGGAACTGGATGAGCTTTAAGGTTCCTTCCAACCCAATCCATTCTGTGGATCTATGATGCTTCCTGAAACCCTGACCTGTGCTGAAACAGCACCACTCAGCCCATGCAAGGAGACTGGAGTATCCTGCTAGGATGCAACCTCTGGCTTCCAGTTACCCACAACCATCAGGCTCTTTGCAGCTCCCCACCTGCTCTTTTTCTCTTCTCCTCCTGATTTTTGGCAAGGCTCTGTATGTAGATTACCAGCAGGGCTGGAAACTATTCAGCCAACGTGTGCCTTCAGCCCTGCCTGTTGCGCACATGCAAGCATGGCAAAACCACTCAGTGGCCACAGAAAACCACTTCTCTCCATCAACAGCAACCACTTAGTGCTTATAAGCCACCAAAAAAAGGACTCAGCTCATCCCCTCTGCAGCTTGTGAGGGCAGCAAAAAACCAGTGTGCCTGCTCTCAAAGCTAGCTGCTGAAAACGGCAGGGTGTGCCCGTTTGCTCCTGGCCACCTCGGGGGCACCCCACCTCGCCCCACCACAGGGTGCAGGGGGCCTGCCCCTGGCTTTGTTTGTGCTCCCGTGTACGTGTTTCCTGCTGCGGATAGCTGGCAGAGGATGCAAGGGCAGCGTTGCCGCAACCAGGCAGAGCAAACAGTACCAAGGAAAGCCATCGAGATAATGAGGGCTTAATCATTAGATAGCATCCTGGGTGAAAATGCCAGGAGGGCTCCTATTCCATAGAAATTCCTTGGGCAGTGACGTAGGTGAGAAGCCCCCATGCCCTGACACACCTCCCTGTGAATAACCCTCTCCTTTGGCAAACACTTGCTCAGGTCCATCATTAGCAGTCTGACCTGCAAGGAAATAGTATGGCCAGTGTCCAATTCCAAAGCAGGGAACTCCTCCAGGAATGAACAAATTCATCTATCTGTCCATCCATCCATCCATGCCTTTCCAGTTCACGTGCATAGTGTCTGCTGAGCCTAGAGAGTGCTTTAATATAGGGGCAGGTACGGGAGCAGACAGCAGCTATTATTAACAGTTTCAGCCCCCATTTTTTCTTGCACAACATGAAAGCATCCCCCTCCTGCACCAGCTCCCTCCATTGCCTTGATGTGTTACTGAGACCTTTGCCCTGGAGTTAGGATGAGAGTTTTCTATGCAACCTACTTCTACAGAAGGGATGGTTTAAAGTTATAACCTGGAGCAGCCTGTATCACCGGCATATAGCAGAGATGATGAAACTACGAGCCAAAATTACAGGCTTAAGGTGCAGCAGAAAGTGAACATGAATACAGGCTGCCCACAAGCCTGGCTGTTAGGTGGGAGCATTTGGGAAAGCACTTTGAGGTACAAATGTGTTTACTTATCTTAGGAGATTCTTCTATCTACCTCTGCACTTCTACAGGCAAAGTCCAGGATTTGGCTGGGTTCTAATCTCCTACATGAGCATCTGTGCCTCAGAAACATGCTTTGAGGGCTGGACTCAACCTGTATCTTAATATGTCAGACGAACTGAGGCAAAACCTCTTTCTACCTTCTCAGCCCCTCAACTAGCTGCCATGAGCTGCCAGCTTCTCACCTGGACTCTGCCCCCTTCTTCTGCTCCATGGTGTGATGGGCCAGATGCCACGGCCACGGTCTTGCCTGTGCGCTGCCAACTCAGCATGCAAGTTTGAGTTCCTGAAAGTCTGCTGGAAAGGCAGCAGTGAGACAACAGGTATGTTCACACTTACCAGTGAGCTTGTTGTGCATGGAGCTGGGGGCTGAGCTGGTGGATGGGACAGGCACATTACTTGGACTTGAGACCGCTGCGTGCTTCTCACCCGCATCAGAAAAAAAGTGAAGTACAGGGAGTAGCCAAAATCCCGGTGATGCTCTGCATTGCCCTCTACAGGAGCTTGTTTTCTGCTTCGCTGAATGGGGAGCCCAAATAAATACGAGTCTGGAGGCAGAATCTGTACCTTGAGTACCACGGGAAACTCATCATGGTCATAAGGGAGGTGTTGTACTAGCTTTGACCCCTGGTCTGCCTGCTTAGACCCGGTCTAGATTTCTCTTTATCCTGAATAATCTTAGAGACATTAATCCTACAAAATCACCCTTGCTTCACTCAGAGATGAGGTTCATTTTATTCCCGAACTTGAGAATTTGCACCACAAAAGGATAAATATCCTTTGTTCTGCTCTGGAGATCTCAAAAAATGGAGGTGCATTGATGTGGCTGCTCAAGGATGCTTCCAGCAATGGCTGAGCACTGCTTTCCATGAATCCAGCCAGCTGCTGGTCTGGATTTGGCTCCAGTAACATTCAAAAGGATGATTTCTCACCCATTCAGAAGAGAAGCCAGGGTCTGAAGGCAAGCATTCCTTGCAGGCACTGTCATTCCCCTAGAAGCATAACACATTATAATATTTCTGGACATACTCTCAACATCCCCCATAACAGGTTATTGAATAATGTTAAACAGTATCTCATTTTTTAAACCTTACCAAAGGTCTGCTCAGGTCTACTCCTGTGACCACTGCCAAGCACAGGGGTTAAATAAATTCCTCAGGGCTTATCACCCTCTCACACTTACCGTATCTCCCTTCTAAAACACAGACACTTCTTCCAAATGAGGCAGCTGATGCTGTTGTTTGATGAAGTAGCTCCAAAGACCTCTTTCTAGGAAGTTTCAGCCCATCTAAACACCATCTCCGGAAGTTACAGCAATAAAACTCACGTGCCTGTCACTGAGAAGCTGTGACTGGTGCCCTGGGCACAGCCCTACTTTTCACCATATCCTTTCACAGTTTTGCTGTGCACTTCCCTATAATCTCTTCAGCCTTTCCTATAAACTTTTAAATAGGGAAAGATAGCAACTAGACCCCCTTCACCTCCTCTGTTCTGGGTTTAAACCATGGCAGGTTTCTGTACTTATATTTCCAACACTTGCAACGTCCATACAGCTTTAGAGATAAAGCAAGCATAACGACTAAAAAGGAGGCCACCTTATCTGCACTATGAGAAGAGTTTACTTTCATATGCTTCATTTTACTTTGTTAAGCCTTTTGTAACTTCCCAGCTTGTGACATCATCACTCCCTGCAGACACGTGGGCATTATTGTAGCCTTCCTCTGCTTTAATTTGTCAGCCTTTGTGATATTACTTTATAAATGGTAATATCAGGACTTTGGGGAACTAACTAATTTTAACAGGTTTATGCATTGGTCAACCTTCGTTTTTTTTTAAGAGGGGTTGTTAACTGAAGACATGATGTTGGTAGAAGGAGATGGTTTGGTTGGGGGTGCTTCTAAATCTGCATTTACATCACGAAGGCCTTTTGTGCTGGTATATCAGTGTGCAAACACCATTAGACTTTGGGGGCCTCACTTGGCAAAAACACTTTCTAAAAATCTCCTCCTGTTAGAAACAGCTCTGTTTCCTCTGGCCAGAGCCAGTGTAAACTACCAGTATACATGCTACAGATTATATTTCAGCCACTGAGATTCAGGCTGTGTCAATCCTGCAGGCAAAAACCCCCACCAAGCAGAGCCCATCAGCAATTTGCAGGCTGTTCAAGTGTGAGCAGGTCAGGTCCTACCCACTGCTGCAAGCCTGGTTTTGCTGGACCCCACAGAGATCCCAGATCCAAAAAAAGAGAAATGCTGTAGAATGGTAAAACTCCAGAGAAGTGGTTGCTTTACCTCTAAAAATAGGTGGTTTTATAACACAACAAACATTTGTAAATGCTCTGTTACCACAGTGCCCTGAGCAGGTTGATCTGTTCCATGTTGATCCCTGCCTTCCCCATGCTCTATTCAATGGTAGGCAGAACAGCTGATGCCATATCCTGAACAATACGAGAAGGAAAATGATGCCTGCATCACAGGGTGAGCAGGCATGCCTGATCCCACTGCTGTCATTGAGGGAAAGTTGATCCAAACACAATGCAGGGCCAGGAGCTGATGGCTGAGCAGTGATAGATGCATGTCTGGAGTAAGTGCATTAGAAATCTACAAGAAAAGTCTATCAGAAAATCCTGCTTGATTTTATTACCATTTGGTGGACAGCCAGCAAGAAGAGCTTTCTATATTCATGAATTCATCAGATTCATATTTCAAAAATAATA